ATTTATTTCAACAACTGGCAAAAGAAAAACCTAATATATGTATATACATATACATTATTTTTAAAATCTTACACTGCCAAGCCACACCCAGGAATATACAATGGTAAACACGATAGAAGTAAATGTGAATGACAGTGCAAATAAGTAGGCCTATCTATATAAGCATAACTGTAGTAGTAACGAAAATAGTATATAGATTAAAATTATGCTATATAACTACGTCAACACATTTTGATAAATGGGTAAAAAGAGGATCTTAGCTTGGGTTAAAAGATAGTCAATTACAAGAGTTTGTTAAACAGATATATAGATATCTTCAATCTAGCCTAACAAACCAAATCTAGTTATATTCTAGGCCTACTGCTTGATCACATGATAAGAAACATCATCTCGGATGCAAGCCGTGAGGAAGGGGCTTGGTTGACAGTGTCATCAAAATATGGAGTGAAGATCAAACCCCTGCACTCCACATTGTACAATAGGCTAACCCACATCACAAACAAACTTTCTCCTTCCCTTTCTTAAAAAATAAGGACTCGGTTGATTGATTTTTATTAAACACTTTCCTACAGCCCAAATAGCCCCTGCCTTAATCTGCCCTTGCACTCGCCCAATACCAAGATTCATCAGGCCAGCTTGCATAAGACAAACAGAGTAGTAGTTGAGACACTATATATATTATCAACTGTATGAATACTAACTTTTACAGTGTAAACTAGATTAAGTTTGTCAAATGTAATTGTTATAATTGCATACAAGTCACTTAATAAACACAATTAGGGTAAGGATTAATAATACAATATTGGTTCTTTATTAAACACCAATTATTTATTATTATGCACTTTCACCTGAATTAACTTTACTCATCATTCAGAGGCAGATTTTTGTTGGAAAAGTTTATAGCAACTTATGATTTAGTTGAAAGGTAAAGTAACAGCAAATGATTACTCAAACCTTATTTCAATAACCTTGGCTTTCATGGAACACTTGGCTGTGGTTCACTACTGTGAAATCCTTTTGCTGCCAAATTTTTTAATTAATGATGGTTTTGCAAAACAGTTAACATCAAATGCCTTATTTCTCATTATAGAAGAAAAATCTGACAACATTTGTCATACCGTAGCTTGTTTTATGATGATTTGTTTCTTCTCATTCATACTTCTGATTCACATCATGAGTCATGAACCTACCATTATGGTACTTAGAAGACCCTTCATGGTTTCAGTTATGCTATACCTCAGTGTTCTAATCAAATTCCTTATGCTCTTCACATAACTTCTGTTTCATTGAAGGTCTAATTTCTATATTCGTTGTTATGAGAATGTTTTTTTTTCATCCACTTTTATGAATTCAGTATTGATTTCTATCACACACTAACACTACCAGTTTTTAACTTTTTTCTTCATCTCTTGACTCATTTTTCCTCTAAAGAATAAAGATCTTTCTATCAAAAAAAGATTAGTCTTCTAACTTAGGCACCAGATGTCTTATCTGTTAAGTAATATCCAATTATACTAGCTCTGTTTGGCCAAAAGGATATATATATATATATAAACTGAACACTTAGATATCAGTCAAGAAAAATCAAGAGATATTTCATGATAAAATTAAATTTATACCAAAGTTGTCAAAAAAACACTAAAAAGCTTTAACTTCTGCATACTAACAATCTGAAGATAAATAAATTGGTGGGTGAGATTGGAAAGCACAGAATCAATCAAAACATCTTTATCAGTCATAAATGAACAATAACTAATCAAATTCTTTTACTGTTTGCCTCTTTAATCAAGCATATAAATTTAGTGATTTAATTGAAAAAAAGAAAGCTTCACGTTACTTAAATGTATGTATTCACTATGCCTCAAAAGTTTCTATAGTTATTTTTTCCATAGGTCTTTTGCTCACTGTCCATCAATATTTTCCTGTCGTCATCATTAATGGAGTGCTTTGACATACTTAGAAATGTTCAGTATCGTTATAATAATAAACAGCTCATAGTTTGAAAACAGGAGGATATGCCAAATGCTTTGTGATTGTGACATTACCTCTAATAAGTTGCTTCATTGATCAACTCTTTTTTTTTAAGGTGCTCTTCTTTCTAGAGTTTATGAACCCAATTGGATGTTTCCGTCATTTCCATCACATCCAACTCTCTCTGTTAATATTATTATTTCTTTTCCCTATCTTTTTGAAAGAAACTTTCCACTTCTGACATTACAACTTATAAGGTGGTCTCAGTTCACTAATCTTTGATCTTTATCTTTCTTCTAATTTTATTTTAAATTATATTTTTCTTCCTTTTATTTGCAATGCTTTAATTATCATAGTTCTTTACATGACTGGAATGTTGTTGTTATTCTGTACACTGTTGTTTAGCAATTTTGTAATCACTTTTATCTATATTCTGATAATCATGACATTCAATCAGTTTGCACTTTGACTAATCTTTTACACCAAGACTTATACTTCTCAGAAGTAACAAACTCATTTCAGCTCAATCTCTCTGCTTATTCTCTATTTCTTTGTTTGATATATAGGATCTTAACCCTTTTGCCCCGGATAGGTTAAAGTGCACGTGTCACGACGTTTTGGAGCATTATTTTCAAAATTGTATTAAATAACATTTTTACTACTTACATCATTAAACTTAGAATCAAAATGTAGTTTATAATTTAAATTTTGATATCATATATGTTTTAATTTCTTAACTTAAAAGGAAATGTAAAGAAAAAAAATGTTAAATATCGATTTTGTGTGTCACATAACACATCCAGTTGTCTTATTGTTCAGTTCCCATTTTATTATGCCCACCATACAACATGTATAAGTAGCTAATGAATTAGAAACTTGAATTTGAAATATAAACAAACTAAATATAAAATAAGAACCTTCCTCCGCTATGATTTGCTGAGATAGCAATATTTTTAGCGAGTCTACTTGAGTGGCTCCTCCCATTGCACCAATCTTTTGAAAGCTCTTATCTAGTCCCACCTACTACTAATTAGCTACTGCTTATAACCAAATTTCACCCCTACGTAACTCTGACAGTTGTTTATAAATAGCTTGAAGGAGAAAATAATAATTTTGCCAAAACCATTGAATTGTGATGATTTAGTTGTGGCTCTGAACAGGAATGGGATTTTTTTTAACCCACATACAGTTTATTTAGAGACAGGGATACAGGGATTTTGAGTGTACTAGTACAGTAATTTGATAACTTTTTGGTCTTCAAAAACTCATATTTGAAGAATAAAAAAAATTAGAATCTCTACCTCCTCCACTCAGAATAATAAACGAGGCTTAAGTCAAGGCTTAGCAAGTTCGAAGGACGAGCGATGCACGAGCGCAACATTTTGTAACATGGTTACGTACTCGAAATCTTTGTTTGTCAGTGTATTTCTCATTTACTTTCTAAGTGTGGTGAAAGTGAAAGAGGGTAGTATCATTTATAAGAATGTGCCCAAATAACACCTTCATATACTTATGCTGCAAAATTCCACACACATCAAATGGGTGACCATAGTACTGAAACACCTGCTATGTACTTGGATAAGCCCGGCTAAGAACCTACAATGTTTATTGGATCAGCCCAATTCTGAACCATATAATAAATGTTTTTACACATTCTAATTGCAATTTTATTACCTTGGGAAATTCCCATTGAAAGTGTTGTTGGAACTATAAACTGTTATATCCCATATTGTGTTCTCGGAGCAAGGGGAATGTCACCTCACTGAATACATGTGCATTTTTATGCTCAAGAGTTTCGTATTATGGTTGTACGTAAGCACTGTGTCTTATAACACAGGTGATGAATTATTGCTTTTTTGTCAGCAGGTTTGTAATTTGTCGGTGACAGTAAAATAAACACAGAAAATATATGGAATATGTTTAGCAGTTGAAACTGTCAGGGGAAGAACTCTGAAACTTCATGATCAATAATGAAGAAAAAGGAAACAGCTGCTCGTTATATTTCTGATTTTACAATTTTTCTTTTCATTCTACTTCAATGAGTTATTTACATGCTGAAGGATCAAATAATAAATGTAATAACAGGTAAAATATAACGCTTTATTAAAAAAAAAAGGTATATAAGTATTTATGAGGTTTCAGAGGTTGTGCCAATGAAATTCGAGATTTTTTAAAATGAAAATCACTTTGCACTCAGACTAGTTAAAAAAATAGAATAGATATTTTCATGGACAAATATTAGTAAAAAATACTTCATTAAAAGTCTACAAAATTTTGTAAAGACACACTTAAAATATTAAAAGTTATAGCATGAAAACTATAACAAGCACAAAATGGTTATGAGGTCGGTTCCAGAGACCGAGCCCATATTGAAAGGGTTAACAACTTATTTGTACAATGACCTGTGTATTTCTATTTCACAGGCAGTTATATGTAACAATATCCAAGTGTAGAATGAAGGAACAATAAAAATGCATATTTTCATATATATTTTTATATACAAAATTCTGTAAAAGAAAAGTGCCAAATGGCACAAGATATTAAAAATGTCAGAAACATACCAGACAATCAAATACTGCATGTTATGCAATTAAAATCAAAAAAATTAAACCAAGCCTTAGCATGCTGCTGAACATAAGCATTATTAGTTTGGGTTTTGGAAGTTTTCTCACACTTACGATCCATTAGTCTAGGCATTATTCATAACTTTAGCAAACTGTTGTAACACTAGTTTGCTTACAAACACCTCAAACAAATAAAAACTAAATTCAGTATCCTTTAAACAGAAACATTATTCTGGACCGATGATGTGTTTGTGCCAAAAACTATAGCCTTAAAAGCAACTTTACCTTCATATTTTGTACACGAATACTGAGTAGAAAGAAGCTCTTTAATATAACCAGATTTACAAACACAAGTGTTCATGAAACAGTGGGAATGTGGAATTGTACAAGCTTTATCTGATGTGCACAAGTCTCCCAGCTTCCTTTCTGTTGAAGAAAAATGGTCTATCAATAAATCAGAAAAAAAAATTCATATGTAATTTTACTTAATAATTAAAATTATAATGGACACAGAATAAAACACAGAATTTTTAATAACTTCAAAAAGTAACCTTATTTTGTAGCAGCAAAAAAAAATTATATGGTCAGCTGTTTGAAAAAAAAACAACAAGAAAACAAAATGGACCCCTGAAAACTGAAATATAATTTATTTAATATCTGACTAAAAACTTCACATATCCTGTTCAGCAACAGCATTACATATTATTAAATAACTAGAGCATAATGATTAGAAATATGGACAGCAGCTAGAGCTCAAGATGGATGTTGTATTGCCATATTTTTTATATTCATTTGTAATATTTTCCCACTTGTACTTCAGAGTTGTCTGTATATTATGCTAGCCCTATACGAAAGATTAAATTTCCCATTTGTTGTGGAACACACCCATACACATTCAGTACAACTAGTGGTAATACAATAATCTGCCAGAAATGGTGGACAACAAATAATAAGAGCTCTGTGAAATAATGTTAATAGTGTCATTGATAATTAGCCAATATAAACTAGTAATCACAATGAAGAATCAACAGAAATAAGGAATATCAATGTTGTAACTTAAAACTGTCAAGACAAAGACATAAAATTCATAGTCAATCATATAATTCTGACTACAAATATGCTAGGCAGATGGTATCAAGCAAAGATGATGTGCAACCTTTCGTTCACTACTGCTGCAACTGCTAAAAAACATAATGTTTTACAACTGATTCTTTGTGCAGAAGAGCTTCTGGAAACAGTTTAGTAATATCATAATTAAAAAAATCAGTCTATAAAAAACATGTACAATAATCTTTATTAAATACCACATGTTAACTAACATTTTCTTTACCAGATACACTCCTCTCCACAAAACTGACAGTTATTAGTTCATGCCACTGCCGAAACGTTTTTGCATATGCACCAAATCTCAAAGAAATCTTCTACCATTGCATGTATTAACATGTATTGTGACAGTCTGTTATGCAATCAGCATCAGACTATATCCCTCCACCAATAAGAGGGCAATACATCCTCTTTGTGTATTACTCCCCTTGAGCATTATGCACATTAAAGCTCACTGTTGATGAGGTAAAAGAGACACATCAGAAATTGGGAGGAAAAGTGGGAGGATTACTTAGAGAGGTATCTGAAACTTTTTCAGGTAAGAAAAAAAATGTTAACTTAAGAAACATTAGTCATCTTTCCACAGAACTGATAGCTAGAACCTCACATTGATAAGACAATGAAGGGGTTAGTGTGAAATTAAATTATATGATGAACTCCTTTCTAATAATACAGCATTGTAAAAGGAAAACTCGTGGGTTGTGTCACTCATGAGGAATAACATCACTCAGTGGAAAACCCTATCCATCTCATGCAGGGAATGCCTTTCACCCAACAGAGGTGGTAGAACAAAAGGTAAGTTTTAAAGAGCCTCCTGTGTGGTGCTAATCTGTTACATAGGTGGATGAAATATAAAGACTGCTCAACTGACTTTTATATCTCAGGGGGTTGGCAGGGCATGTATGTGCAGTGTGGCTATGCAATAAGTCAAGCCATACAGTATTGGAAAAATACTTACCAGAATATGTTTGTGTGAAGAGGAGACAAAGACCTGCATCCCAAAGAGAACATAAGACTCATACAACTGGCATAACCACTGGGAGTGGTCTAGTTCTTCATGTAAGCAGGGGTGTGGCCACTCAGTCTCAAACCAGAAGAATTACACTGACCTGAAACTCTTCATATTAATCTTGTGACTGGAGAGCAGGTGTTCTCTCTTTACTCCACTAAAAGAAAACAGGAGTGAGGGATATGCATAGAGAACAAGTACTGAAACTGAATAAGAGTCATCACACCTGCATAAAGTACCACACTGATAGACTGTGCAATGGGTTACCATGAACAGGGACACTGGAAGCTACCAAAGTGTGAGGACAGATAACATGTCATTTGGATTCAAACCATGCTTGTCAGCTCTGAAAGTCTCCAAAAGAGACATAACTTCTCACAAAGAAAGTGAAGGAAGCATTAGAGCTTTGGTAACTAGAAGCATCATGCCCTAAAGATGTAAAGAAGAAAAAGGCTGAAACTGCTCTGCAAATGAGCTGAAAAAGACTCCCAAGGAAATCAGATACTGGGTGGGGGTCAAGACACCTGGAGAGCCTGACCAACCAACCAACACAAACAAAACAACTCCCAAAGAAGTAGGGAGGTCACAACCAAGAATGTTTATTTGGATATGGGTGAGAAGGAGCCAGTCATCCATATATTAGTAGAAAAGTAGGCCCAACAAATGTATACTTTATGCAAATGCCCTTAGGACTCAATTCAAAACATACAGATCCACACCCAACTCGACCGGATAAGCACAGAATGGAAAGTTCCAACTGTTATGGTGGAAATAATAAGTGATCAAACAAATCACATTGTGAAGAAATACATAAGAAACTTAAAACTTTGTCATCCACAGCACTCAAGTAAAGAAAACTGTTATTCTGAAATCAAGAAATGATAAGAAATTGGTTTAAGAATGATAGATCCTTAATATATCACCAGTCTTGTGTCTTCTTGGAGATCACCCAAATGTATTTTGCAGAGAGAGTCCACATGAGCACAAATTGATAGAGCCAAGCTCCTACCGGACAGGAGCCAAGTGGTAGCTCCTGAAACAAATTACCAAGGTGATTCGCAATGACCAGCCCTCAAAGAAGAGAATGTTGGAAAGTAGCAAGAGGAAAAGAAACAAGAGAGAAAGTGGTCCTTTGAGGCTCCTGAGAACAAGATACCTGATAAGCTAATTAAACTCATATTTCCAATGAATAAGAAAATACCAAACACCTCATCACAAGGGAAAGTTGCCACACAAAGATTCCTAAAATAATACCATTGGAGGCAAGCCCCAAAAATATGGCATTCCAATTAAGTAAATCCCAGAAACAAAGAAATCTAGTTAACTTGGACAATGTAAAAAAAAGAAGAAGAAATAGAGACCAAGGTGATGAATAAGTAGGTATAAATGTCTCCAGTGAAGTAGTAAGGGCTAAAATATACAGCCTCTGAAAGAAAGTGAAATGATAACAGATAGTGAAAAAGCAAACAAAGATGAAGGTGAGCAGAGTGCAATTGAAAGAAAGAGAGAGAGAGACAAAAAGGAAGAGATCCATAGCTAGAAGAAGAGATTTAAAGGACTCAAGCTCATGGAAAGAAGAAGAACCATGAGCACATGCTACAGAATAAGATTCTCCATGTTTAGAAGACAACAGGGAAACTAAAGTTTGATACGAAGTTGAAACAAAATAATATCAGCATAATCATGAATATCAGGGGGGGGGGGAATCCACCTTCTGCAACATCCTTGCAGCAAACTCTGCTATGAGATCTTAGTAATCTAATCTTGTTGCTGTTTCCTTTTCAATGGAGAGCATGGCAAATCCACCCAGCCTCTAAAGACATATTTGTCCTAAGATAGTTTTTATTATTTTTAATTTGGAAAAACTTTGCTCCCCTGAAGCCACTGTAAATGGGGTTATCAACAAAATCCTATACACTATGAATGCATTTGGGAAGGAACTGTCTAAAGGCTTAAGAAACTGAAGGGCTTGTTTTGTTTCTCCAGGGATGCATTCTTGCAACACCCACAGCTCTGAGAAAAGGTCTGTATCAGTAACGTCATAAGAATCTTCATCACAAAACATTGTTCAAATTCATACACTGCTTTCTCATGTCATCTTCTGTTGTTTCTTGAAGCTGCTTCAAACCATACAGGAAACTGAAGTAACCAGCATAATCCTGCATTTATTTGAATTGTACAGTCATGACATGAGAGCTTGACCCATGATGGCCAGAAAGTAATTTGTTTCAAATGCTTTCTCAAGAAAATTTGTTGTCCTCTGGAAAAGGTGTTCTCTTTCATTCACTCGTTCTCCGAGTTCAGGTTCAACATCCATTTCAGATGTTATTTCTGTTGTTGCAATCTTGACTGAGGTAAATTCAGTGTTCCTGTTTTCCTGCAGAAACTCAGTGAGTCCCTTGATGTGTTTTATAGCCACATCAAGTTGCATTTCTCTGGATGAGGTGTCTTGTTCACAGTGAATAGGATATCATACCACATGATTCGAGCAGAAATTCAAAATTTTTGGATTCATAATTGGCCAAGAACTCCACCTCACTTTTAACTTTTAAGTCGCTGCTTTCTTCAACAACTTCAAGCAAGACATTCCTGATAGCACCTGTCTGGCAACAGGTCACTTTTACACTCTATATCATATGTTCCCATCTTGTGTCTGACAATAGCCTTGGTGTTATAAAGGTAGCATTCTCTCTCTCGGTATTTGCCATTTGTGAGTGGAAGTGGTAAATATGCTGTAAATTCACTGCAAAATTCCAAAAAATGACGAGAATTTTGAATTGTCCTTTGCCATATCCTTCAATACTAAATTTATGTCACTGATGCCACACAAAGTGAAAAAGGCTTTAAAGCTGACCTGAAGGATGCTTGCTCGAATGTCTTGATTCTGGCCCTTCATATTTGCCCCATTGTAGTAACCCTACCCCTAAAAATCACTAACATGAAGGCCAAGTCTATCCTCTATCCAGTGCAATGATGATAAAATCCTGACAGTCCTTCTCTGGTTGTGTCTTGAACCAGAAAAAAGTCAATATACTTTTCTATTACCTTCACTTCTTCAGAGAATACATCAACATAACACCACATAAAAGACGCCTGCTTCTGGTGACTTGAATTAGGGGTGCAGTCAAGAATGACTGCAAAGTATTTTGCAATGTTCACCTTTTCAAGGATTTTTTTCTTCAGTTTTAACTTCAACAATATGATTAGTTCATTTTGAATCAAGCTGATCTACAAAACCATTTTATGTTGTTGTTTAAGTTGATCTGGTAAGGTTGTAGTATGTAGGCTTTGGTCACTGACATGATGAAAATTTAGAGTAGTTATTGAAATCTGAACATTGGGAGAATAACAATGGGGAAAATTCCTGTTCAAAAAAATTATATTATAAACTCTAGAATATGTGTCCCAAATCTTGTAATTTGATTAAGAGAAGGAAAGAAATTAATGGAAATAAAGATAATAATCTGAACCAAAGTTGTAACTGAAATTTTGTATCTTTGTTTCTAAAAAAATAAATAAATAAATAAAATAAGGAGGAGAAAGGTTACAGCTTCGAATAATGATTAAAAGCTTAAAAATAATAAGCATAAACATTCCATAATTAATAAGGATAAAAATATGTCTGAAGCCAAGAAGTGCTGAGGAGAAAATGAGCCTGTGGTATACAAAGAGTGCTCAGAGGAAGTACTTTGCATAGACATTTTGTTGTTCTCCTATTGCTGATTGTACCACAGGCTGGTGTAATACACAGTGATATATGTAGAGGTTAGAGTTTTGTTCAAGGCTTGGCAAAAGTGCAAAAAATATCTGTGGCAGTGATGTGAAGTAATAGCTTTCAGTTCGGTGGAGACATGAGTGTCATTTCTGAATTAATTTAATATAAATCTTATTATCTTATCCTTAAGCTATAGCTACATATACATGTATCCTTGGGTTAGAACCCTAACATAATTAACACGTGAAGAAACCACAACATTAAATCAAACAAATATATATTGTTTTGAAAACTACATGTACCTATTTAATCTGCAGAAGAAATGTAAATCACACTTATATTTTCAAACAACAAAAATAACTTACCCTCATTACATGCAGTGACACTAAAAAAGTGCATCTTGCGATAAGCTGTATCACAACTGCAAATGCCATTTGCACAAACACTGAAGAAATCAGCACATTCTTCATCTGAAGAGCATGCATCTCCAATCATCTCTAATGAACAAAAAAAGAAAATCTACATCATGCAAGTAAAATCATCGAAAAGTTACTGAAGTAATATAAGTTTTGATAGTCAAGTTCCTACTTCATCATGAAAAAAATATGATTAGTTAAGTGACAATAAATACACTATTTTTGACAATTTAAACATACACAGAATAATGCACATTAAGCAGCACAAACAGAGTATAAAGCAAAGGAAAGAAACCAGCTACTTAATAATATAATTATCATACATTCATACTAACAAGAGAAACTGTTTTTGAATTAAATCTACTTTCACACAAACAATCCACTTGGGCGTAACATGTAAACTTGCACATGAGAAGGGTACAAAACTAAATCAGGACATCAAATGTTCTGTGAGAAGTTGCATCATAACAGCAATAAGCTGTGTTTATTTAAAATATATATCACTAGCCAGAATATTCAAGCTCTGTCTACTACTGATGCATTTTGAAATGCACTTTTAAAAACCTAGCACATTGCAGTAAATAGATGATTTGTTCAGATTTAAGTTGAAAAACAAATGCCTAGGGGGACATCCTGGGTGCTTAAAGTGTGGAAGACCCCAAGACATCCATGTTTTGATCCCTATACTCTCCAGAAAAAGAATAGTGAACTATTCAAAAATGCTCGAGTATTGGGTCTCGTTTGAAAACCATTGATCCCATATTGATATGCCCAAACAGACAACTTTGGATGTCCACAAACAAGTGTTTATACAACAGCACACTTAGATGTCATATTCAAAGAATGTCAACTGGCAATAAGCAATTTGTCAAAGTGCTAATTAATGAATAGTCTATCATGTACTCTTTATCATTTGAATGTCTCGGCTTTAACTATATCTGTCCTGATTAGATTGTAATTATTTGATTAGGCTACCATTTAATGTTTCTCAACACAATGCCCCATTAATTTCACCTATGTCCTAATTAGATTCCTGAGAGAAAATGCAATAATAACTTCATCACCTTACTTATTTCCATAGTCTTATAACAAAGACATTCTCTGGAGCCACAGCAAAAGTAAATATTTCTGTAAAATTAAATGAAGTAAACAAACATGATAAAATAATTAAAGGTGTAGATACTAAGTAATGTGTGAAATTCAAAAGGTGCTTTATTCATAGTTCATCATTAGACCAATAAAATTCCATAACATAAAGTCATCATTGTATATTCATAACAGAATAGGGTGCAGATAGATTTTTTGGAATTGTATAAACAATGTTGTTTATCTTATGTATCATTATCCTTTTTATCATCAAACTTATTTTCCTTCAAACACATCAGTTGCTAATGAAACCATTGTGTACAAAGTGACCCATGTATTTTTAGTTTAGGGAAATCCATCTGTATGTGTCCAGTTTCTGGCTGAATTTATTTTATTGATAAGATCCTAAATTGATTTCAGAAATATTGAAATGGTCTTAAAAATTTTAGTTGCTTTTTTATTACTTGCAAGTCAGTCATGACATTCACTAGTCAAGTTCTACCATCTGAGTAGCAACACATCATATGTTAATTCTGCTACTGACATAACTCCTTAAAGTATTTGGAATACATTGGCACCATTCATAACACTTCTTAATTAAACATACCTTATTAATACTGCACCTGCACATATACACAAGACAAATAGTTAATAAATGTCCAGTCCAAATGACAGTGTTTTAGGACTTCTATGTTTTTCGAGTAGAACTTCTAAAATTCATATCCCATAATTCCTGCACTTCCTGCTTTTGCAAATTAATGTACAGGCTACTCATGCGCAAATTAGGCTTTATATTTGGAGCTTTCATTTATTTGTTGGATGAACACTTTAGTTTGATCAGTTACAAACTAATTCCAATGTTCCACAACTTGTTTCTTATACTTTATTCCAATACCAAGCCTCTTGTTGAATGATACAGAGGAATTAGAGTAGTATCAGATAAACCTGACAGTATGCTTACTTTACTCATAAATTAGTTAAATTATCCATTTATAAAACTAACTGTTCTGGATATTAACAATGTTCAATGTGCACTGTATATTACTTGCTTATTCAATTTTACAGCTTAAAATAATTGTAAAATGGTGCAATGCAAATTTGGACAAAAAAAAAGAATGTACAGTTCAGTCTAGAGCTTCAAATATATCAATTAATTACAGCATGAAAAAGTATATCTGTCTAAATGGTATCTGCAATTTTAATTTTAATGAGTTAAAAGTGTATTTATGTATGGTAATTTTTGTGAATGTCTTACATTAACATCTTCAGGCTATTACCTTATCTAAATACATGGAGAAAGAGACCAATTTATACTATAAATTAAGCTACATATTTAAATAAACATGGAACACAGATGATAGTATAATTATTTTACACACACACACATACATATATATATATATATATATAAACATACCATGCATCTACAGTATAAACAACAGTTGGCTTTTTTAATTTTTTTAGGCAAATAAACACCCTATTTACATTCCTGGAAATGATTCTTACCTTATATAGGTGCATTAGTGTAAATTATGTTAATAAACTTAACAATAAAAGTACATACTTAGTTCCCACTCATGAGCTGCCATTCCAGAAGGCAGTGAAAGCTGCCATATGATATAACATATAGCAAATGATGCCCATCTTAATTTTTTCTGATATCCATTAACCATGGTCTTGTTGATATTCTTTCTATTGTTCTGTTCAAAAAAAAGTAACACGTTGTGAAATAAATCAAATCAGCTTTTATGACAAAATCACAAATTGATATGAAAAACTCTTCCAAATAATAATAAAACTCAAATCATCAACACTGCATATAAAAGTACACAAAATAATTAACTGGTTCAATGAAGTGTAAAGGAATGCAAAGTTGTTAGCTTTGAATAAACAAATCTAACACACAGGATTTTAATATACATGTACATGTATGTGAGGGATACAAAAGGATACATTATTTTGCTTTTTACAATATATTTTACAGGCAATTCAACTACTGATCACAGTTTTATTTTTAGGACTAAGAGGCAACTTAATGATTTTACAACTGATATTCAATATCCTCACACAACTAGTTATAGGAGAATCAGTAACTGTATATGTAACCTATTAAGAAAATGTGTTTAAAATAGACTCTAATCCTATTGAAACTTAAACTGCATAAAATGTTAAAGAAACACTCATGGTGACTTGGTAAGAATCTCTACCTGTATTAAAATTCTTCAGTGGGATCCCTGCTGACTGTAAGTCAGTTAATTTCATCTTTTACTTAAGATTATTTATCAAAAATAACTCAGAGAAACAAATGATGTCATGGTTTCACAATATTTTTTGTAATGTGTTTACTGAAATGAGATTTTAAGATTGCCAGAAATTTAATACAAAAGCTTATGGCTACCACTGATCAACAAACATCACTCAAAACCAAAACCTTCTCTTAATCAACCAATGAAGTTCCAGCACCACCAGTCAAACATACCATGCATTAAGCCTTTTTGAATATCCACCAAACAACTTACAAGCTAAGTGCAGTCAATTCTCATTTTGATTTGAAGATGGAAGACTTCTGAATTATCATCACTTTAGACTTCTTTAGAGAAAACTCTTATGGTAAAATACTGCTAGCTGTATAAGGCAGTTGGTATTAATTTTCACCTAATTATGAGTTTTGTCATAATTACATTGCTTATATCATTAATAAGCTGTCTTTTAGTACATAAAGCAGCAATGAGCAAACTTTTTACCAACTGTAGTGCAAACAATTAATAATAATCACACCAAACTCCTTTTGAGCTCAGACATGTCATATTCTAAACTTGTTAAAAATAGGCAAAAATATTTAACATTGTTCAACAATTCTATGGATTTATATGTAGATTCAACTATGGGTAACTAAAACCACCATACATATATTTAACATATTCTACACATAATTTGTACTTTACACATATTACTCATGCACATATGTAACTACTATAGGTAAAAATATGAATCACACACTACTAAGACATCTTCATGGTAATGCACAACATGTACCAACACAATTTTATAACAATGATAAAATATTCTACTAAAGATCTAGCATGACAAGTAAAAAAATTAGATGTTAGAGCAAAATATACAAGGTTACCCATACATAGAAGCTGTGATGATAATAATAATACAAATTTATTCTAATATATACCTAAATTTCTCATCTACATAAGGTAAATATAGCTACTTGCTAAATTGACCATATGTGCTGTGGACAGAGTATCTGGTTATATTGACTAGATTTAACCAAACTCAATAACACGTATGTAACAATGGTAAATTGTAACACTGATAAAATGAAATTATTATTTTTTACTGTGTAATGATATAGACATTTACCATACAGGGGTTTGAAGCTGTAAACCTACAATACAATGAATGTTTTAATTTATTATCTTATGACTTGCTTTTCACAACAATGTTAGAAAATCTCAATATACGTGGGCATGTAATATAAAACAAATAATTAATTTTTGGCACCACTTAAATACATAGAGGTTAAAAGGCACAAGTAAAAAAGTTGAGAATTGTGCAACAGTAAAAACTATTATTAAGAATCACAATAAGGAAAGGAAAGTAGATAAGAGGTATGTTTTCTGTCAAGTTGTTAAAGATTATGGAAACAAATTGCATTTCTATAATGAAACAAAATTAACATTTCAATCAAAAGAGAAATGACAAAGAAATAGAAAAAGGAAGTATATTTATAAGTTTTGATTAACATATTTTTGAGTACATTTCAATCTATTTAATTTATATGATGACTATATTTTGTGTTTGTTCATATTGAAAAATGTGTATTTGAAAAGTGGTATTTGAATGTTTTTATTATAGATTAGCTATAAAATTACATACTGAAGAGTGACCTTTGAAGTCACAAAAGTGGTAGAAGAAATTAATAAAAAACAGAAGAGATCAAAGATTGCAGTATTTAATTATTTATATCCACAGGTGGAAACTTGTATGTGCTTTGGTTATATATACATATGTATGAACTGGTGTCAGATAAAATAAATTGATTAATGAAAATTATGATTAAATTGCTTAATAACATGAAAATAATCAACTATTCAAAACTAGTGTTTATGATTGCTGTTGTTTTTGGTTATTACAAACTACCCAATTAATAAAGATAATGCCATTATAATTTATCTTTATTATTTTTGATTAATTCAAGGATGCTAAGCTCAACCCATTAGTATCATGACTCATGTGAAAAATAAACTAATCAAAGTTAGTGATCTTTATTATATCTGATCATTTCAACTATCAAAGTCTCAATCAACAATAACAGATCAGTTGAATGTAATTTATTAATGAGCCTGATGATTAATTGATTAGCCAATTCCACTAACTGCTCAGCTCTTTTATAGAGATATGAATTACAGTTAATAGTTAAGACCTCACTTGGACTACTAGGTACAGATTTGATCTATTTATCTAAGAAAGAAACTGACTAATTGGAAAGGATTCGAGGGATGGCCACTAAAATGATTCAAGAAATAGAAAGGTTATATAGTACAGACAGGTTAAGGTCTCAACATATATTCTCTTCAGAAACGATGGGTAAGACTAAGACTAGATCGAGGTGATCTTATCGAAGCATACAAGATTATCCGGGAGATTGTTGAGATAAAGGCCTATGTTTTTTATATGTTGTATTCTGAAGACAAAATTTGAAAGGATGCAAGTCTAAGATTTCAAAAAGACAGGTTAGACTTCAGTTAAGAAGCATTAATTTTCTAACAGGGTGATTGGCAGTTGTACAAGCTAGTGCTACACACGAGTTTAAGAGAAAAATCAAGGATTTCCTAAAATGTAAAGAATGGGTTAAATTTTTATTTGTATTTTTTTCGATGTGGATATGCAAGACCAGCTTTGAAATACCAGATGATCCCTATATGTCTGTATGTTACATTATGTTAAATTCCATGACTTTTCCATGAGTAATTTTGTTTTTCTAAATGATTTTTTAATATTGACACAATCAGTTAGTTACTAGTGGACAGTGTTGTATTTTAAAAAGTTTATCAATACCTTGCTGAATGTCAACTGTTCCATCAAACCCTGTAAACTTTTCATGAAGTGGTCTCATGGGATATTGCAAAATTTAGCATTCATTGTTATATTGGTAAGGGTAAGTTAAAACAAAAAATTATTAAATGAAATTGTTTAAACTAATGACTTTTCTGGACTTGTTATGACTATATAAAAAAGAGCAGTACTTTTCCAATAATTTTACAACTTGAAATATTAAAAACTAAACAATGCATGTGCAATCCCCTTTAAAACATCTTCCTTCTTATGAAATTTAGTATTGTAAATCAGTTTATATTTTCTTTCCAAAACAAGATATCTTAGTCATAAACTTGGAAAAAAAAAAAAAAAGACTTGGTTGTTGTTTTCTTAGTCCAAAATCACACAATGTGCTATATGCACTATGTCCATCATGGGGACTCAAACACTGGATTTTTGCGTTTTTAATTTTAAAGATTGATTTTAAGTCCATAAACTTGCCTCAGAACCATAGAGGACAAAATTACTTGGGAAAATTATAAAGACCTATTGATAATACACCTATGAAAATAATTGTTACATAAATCATTTAACTAGCAAAACAATATGAAATTTTACGAATATATTCCGCTATGAAATTTAGAATATAACCTCATAAAACAAATGGCTGCAAAGTTTATAGTTACACATATTCAATCATTAACCATCTACAAATACAACTTAGATTCTTAGAAGGTTTAAAAATAAAAATAATGTAGAAGCTTAGGTAGGTAATTTTAATTGAATCACGTTTATATTTTAGCTATTTTATCTAGCAGAAGTTAACCTTAGGACTATTACTATTGGTAATAATAAAGGTATCGACTTCTTAAAACTTACCACTTCTATTAAGTTCTATTAGTTCTAATGTTTACTTTCAAAATTTCCTAAGTTCAAAATTTCGCGTCTCTCGCTTATCAATAGCAAGTCTCTCAAGTCAGATACGCTGGAGTTAATCTTGAAACTGAATAACGTAATTACTTTTTACTTTTAGACATTATTCATTCATGTTTCATCAACACGTTTCTCGTTTACAATTCCACAAACAATGGGGCGAGGTAACATTAAATATCGTAAAATCACTACTCTATTACAGGCGTTAAAAGAACTATTTTAAAATTACGAACGACGGTATAATGATATTGGCACAGTTTTTCAATCACTTTCACAAGTAAAACCCGAGTTTTGAACGCACAGTACTGTCGTTCGGAGCCACATAACTATAATACATAATGACGTCACACACTTCAATGCCTCTGTATGGTAAGTAAGGAGTTGACTCACCATAACATGGAAAAGCTTTTCAAAACCGGCACTGCTAAGTCAAAGTGACATGATTTTAAAAAATCAAATTAATTCTCCTTATTGGTGAATTTCGAGACTACTCTTTTATGTAAACTGAATTCTTATTATTTTTATACATAATGTTAAGGTCCAACTGACAAGAATGATTTACCATATGACATTTAAGTTTTAATTGCTCCCAGTGGCTTGTTTGTTTGTAATTAAGCACAAAGCTACACATTGGGCTATCTGTGCTCTGCCCACCACGGGTATCGAAACCGGGTTTCTAGCGTTGTAAATCCGCAGAAATACCGCTGTGCCACTGGGACGCTTCTCAGCTGTAAGTCTGAGGCTCATAGCGCTAAAATCTGAGTGTTAATACAAATTTTGGGCATATCAAAGATAGCCCATTGTATAATTTCATATAACTATGTTACAATTTATTTGTTATTTAAGTACAACGGACTCTCTGTGCTTTGCACACCGCGAGTATCGAAGCCCGATTTCTAGCTTTATAAACCCCCAGACTCACTACTGATCCACTGGAGAGTCGGGGTGGGTGAAAGGACCTGTCTTACAAGAGAAATAATCTAAACTTCTAGGCTAAGCAACATTCGTTTGGGTAGTTATTTCCAAGTGGAGATGAAATCCTGATACTTTTCTGCAATTATGGGTAATTAGTTATCCAGTTCATTGCTGTGATGGTCATCAGCTTGGTAAGAGTAGTGAAAGCAACCAATGCTAATAGTAACACTAGGGTTATGTCCGTTGTGAACTAACCAAAAAGTGAAAACGCGGTTACCAATACTTTTGAGATAACTAGTTGAGAATTGTACAGATATTTTACTCACTGCAGTAGCAGCATCTTAGTCACTTTTTAGGAAAATATGCTAATGTATTTGTGGGACCTGATGGCTGAGTCACACATCATATACACACAGGTGATGCACATCTGATTAAACAACTGCCATACAGGATTCCATAGAGTGTATTTATATTCAAGAGCAGAATTATAGCAAATGTTAAAGGACGAGATTTGACAGCTTTCATAGAGTGGTTGGTTGTTTCCAGTTGTGATTGTCAGAAAGGAGACGGTACACATAGTTTCTACATTGATTTTATGTAAATGAATGTGGGAACTCACGTTGATGCCTCTCCACTACCACAAACGATGAATATCAACATATTGCAAGGGACCTATTGGTTCAATACATTGAACCTGGCATCCAAATACTGGCAAATCAAATTATGAGAGCAGACCTACAACTGTTTTCAGCCCAAGTGATGGTTTATACGATTGCTGCTCAGTCTGCGTAATGATCCTGCCACTTTCGAGAGACTAATAAAAGAGCCACAATGGGAGAAGTGCTTGATCTATGTCAACAACATCTAAGTTAGTTGTATGCTCGAGTCAATGGCTGAGAACCTGAAAATTATATTCCTGTTGTTAAAAAGACAGACTTGAAATTGTGTATTCATATTCATGTGCATTATGAAAATAGAATTGCTTGATCATATTATGGATAGAGAAGGAATCCCCGTGGAATATGTTTCAGTGTAATGGAAAGAAACCTCACTGCTATCCTGTGTTTGTGATGCTTAATACCCTCCTAAAGGGGTAGGTAAGCCAGTTAGCTATATCTGGGACTTCATCTGCTAACTGGCAATTTTCCAAGTTTCTTGCTGTAAAGACAGGTAGTCATCTCCACCCACTGCCAACTCTTGGGTTATTTTTTTACCAACTGTTTTGTATATATTTGTGTGTGTGTTTGTTTGTGTGCATATATGTGTGCATTTAAGTTGTATTTAAGATATTTTATGTCATTTTGTATTTTGTATATGCAAATTGGTTTTGAAGGAATAGCTTTACCTGGATGTACTTAGCGTAATTTAAATTTAAAAAAGGGTATTTGGATTTGTACCGTATTTCATCAGTGTGAAAATGTTTTTTCGTTAATATGTTTTCTTGGTGAAAGAGTTGTACTTTAGAACGTGCATTTCTTTTTAAATGGTTTATTTTTGCATAGCATGTAGTTTAATTGCTAAAGGATATTAGTATGTTTTATCTTTGTTAAAGAATTTTCGTTTAATGTTTATATTTCATTGTTTAATGGTTTTATGTTCTTCGATGTTAAAAGGTTTTGTATCATGTACGTTTTTTTGTTAAAAGGTAATTTCCTTGTTTCTGTGAGATTTTGTTTTCGTTTTGTGATGCTTAATACCCTCATAAAGGAGTAGGTGAGCCAGTTTTTTGTAGCAGTGTTTAGTATTGTAAAAGGTAGCGCTCAGGTGAGCTTAATTGTTGGAGTTTCAATTAAAACTACCCTTTACAACAAATTTATTTATTGGAGGAATTGTCGTGACGAGTGGAGCCACACGTCGCTAACTCGAGGAGTTTACAGTTAGAATAAAGAATATGAGTCTCAGACCAACAGTATACACTCAAAATAATATTTATTTAACATCAATAAAATCATTACACAGTTAAAATATGAGTTATTAAACGATTACTAATAAAAACTTTACTGTTTAAACTTAATATTTTCTACACTAGCTGATCAAGAGAGAGAGAGATTATACTTACAGTAGAGTTGGGGTTTTGGAAGCTATAGCAACATTAGTAAACTTCAACTTCATTTTCAGTTTGGAGAATTTCTTCCTGGAGAGAACTTCGGCGGGAGCTGATTTTTCAGCCTCTGACATGGGTTTTTAAACTCTATTTTCCTTGTATTAATTCGACCCACTAAATAGGACACAGCCTAACCCACAAGTAGTCCTGTGCTCCTATTGGATACTTTAGGAGCATTCCAGGGCTAATCCAGAACCTAAACCAAAACTCTCAAGTTATTGGTCATAGATAAGTGGTGTTAGCCGGCCGCCTATTCACTTGTACTGCTACACCCATGTGCTGTAACTAATACTGCCTCAAAGTGCCGATATAATTCACCAAATCTAAACTTTTCTGCAGCTTTCCTAGTGCTAAGAGAGCGAGGCCAACACTTCATCAAACTGTCACATGTATTGGCGTTCACATCCTGTTTGTTATGCAAGAGTTCTTACTAACTCTGCTATCGACCCTGGGTCATGGATTTCCAGGCTCGCCTCTCAAACTTATTGTTAAGTACTGCACGTGTTTTGCTGCTTACTTCTGAATGATGCCTCTTGTATAACCAAGTTCCTGTTTATTCATTTCTCAAGGCTTATTTCGTAACACAGGCGTCCTATTGTAGCCTCCTTTTCTTTTTTTATATCTATCTTTAATTGCTTGCTTGTATTAAAACTCTTAAGCTTTTATTCTAAGTACTTTTAAATACTCAAAGCTCTTGAAGCAATTGGTGAAATCTTCGAATTACTTCATTAAAACCCTTAGGTTTTCTTCTAAGTACTTTTAAACACTTAAAAACTCTTGAAGCAATTGATGAAATTTCCTCGAAAATTTCAAGTTCGTTCAGTATTTTTGGACAAGTAGTTAATACTGGGGAGAGGAGGAGTTATACTATTTTTCAAGACTTAAGTGACACTGTTAAAGTTTGATTTTTTTCGTAATTTTAGAATTAAGAATAGCCTTGGTCAGCCTGTAGGTATAGGGAAGAGGATTTATGGTACAAAATGATATCACGTGTTTTCTACTTCCTTGTTTGTTTATTTATTTTAAATTTCCCGTAAAGCTACACGAGGGCTATCTGCTCTGGCCATCCCTAATTTAGCAGTGAAAGACTAGAGGGAAGGCAGCTAGTCATCACCACCCACCGCCAACTCTTGGGCTATTTTCTTACCAACGAATAGTGGTATTAATTATTACATTATAACGCCCCTATGACTGAAAGGGCGAGCATGATTGGTAGGACGTGGATTAAAACCCACGATCTTCAGATTGTGAGTCAAGCGCTCTAATCACCTGTTTACTTCTTTAGTTGATATGTAGATTTTTTCAACATTGCTGTTTACATTTCAGTTTGGTTTGGATGTAGAAAGTAGCTGAAGTAAGCATTTTAACTTTACTTCTTGTTAGCTATTTCTGGGACTTCATCTGCTAACTGGCAATTTTCCGAGTTTCCTGTGGTCACATCGTCCACATAAAGAAAGCTGTATTTTCGACAGATTAGTATTTCGTGTGCAAAATAATTAATTCCAATTCATTTTCATTGCCCTGCCCTCCAGGTCTCTCAATTTTGCCTCCTATTAGGGGTATGGGGTTTCTGTGCCAGCTGCAGAACATCGGGATTCTGCACCACTTGAATGGCATGGTATTTCTACATTAGCTGGATGCAAAAAATTGAAAATGTTTTTGAAATATAAGAGGTCTGATAAGAGACTCATCCCTTTAAAGTACAATCCTACTTAGAGACTGAAAATTGTCAAAAAACATTGTCAATTTGTTAAAAATGTCAAAAATATCGAAAATACCCAAAATATTTAAGAAATATAAAATGCACAAATCTTACACATTACCCTAACAACTTAATAACTATAATTTACATTAGTTGAAGTAGTTGAGTTTGACTACTTCTTTAATTCATTACTCTAAAATTTTTATAAATCCATAATTTTTCGTATTGTTAAGTACACATCCCTATCAATATCATTGCCCCAGTGGCACAGCGGGATGTCTGCAGACGTATAACGCTAGAATCCAGGTTTCGATACCCGTGTTGGGCAGAGCACAGATAGCCCATTATGTAGCTTTGTGCTTAACTTAAACAAACAATCAATCAATATCATTAACAGACCATGCAGACAACACCATTTTATAATTTTTTCATCTCTAGAAAATAGATTTTGTGATGCATACTATTCATTCATTTCAAATGGTCCTAATTGTCTTTGTTCAATTTCTAGAGAAAAAATTCCATTTCCATTACCAAATCCTACAATTGTTTTTAAATGCATATTTTGTTTGAGTTCCATAGGTATT